GCTCAGCGACGAGAATATCAATTTTTTCAGGTTTAAACGAAAGAAACGCGCGCACTTACCGATTTAAAATGAACAACAGAACAGAACCAAAGCACAAAAGAAATAAAACAAAAAACAAAACAAACAAAAACCAAAAAAAAAACAAAAAAAAACTAAAGGTGATAAAGATGTTTTTGAACTAATTGCGGGAGGATAATCAGCGATGAGTTAATTACAATTAAAATAATCGATAAGGTATCAAAAAATTAATTGGCAAAAAGATATCTTTGGTGGTTGGTTTTGTTTTTCGTATTTTTTATATTTTTAGCCTAGAGTCGAGTCGGCGTGGCAGGTTGTGCTTTATGATTTGCCAAGGCAGATGTATAGCTCATCCTCGTAATCTTTACGACCAACGAGCCAATGAAATTGTTATTATTGTGCGGGTCATGCGAGCCTTCAGTCGGAACGACATTCGATATACTTTCCACGTTAAATAAATCATTTTTACTCGTCGCACTGGGGCGGGGAGGGGCAAGAGAAGCCCCGACGAGTCCGCGATAATTATATTAAAAGTAATTTTTCATCCGCTTCTCTAGGCTATTGCTCTCTTTAAACATTAACCTCTGCTTTAATTACGACTCGGGCAATGGTAAGTAATTCAATCTTATCGCATCGTTAGCATTTCCAAGGGATAATGGTAATTTTAATGGCATTAAGCTGGCAATGTTCTGATTTTATAATTATGCTGCCTCCAAATCGCCGATAATTGATTATAAGAAACATTGGTGAGACGCATGATTTGTAAGTATAATGATCGAGGATCGAACGGACCCGGTGATTTTTAATTAACGGCACTTGACGGGCTGCGTTAAAGCGTCGATGCGACTTTCAACGTAAAGGACGTTAAAAGAATTGATAACACGTTATTTGGGCCCAATTGATAGAAAAAAAATTCGTTGGCGTTGGAGCCCAAGGCCAAGCGCGCACGCATCGTAAGGATCTCTTAGCAAGGAATCGGTTCCGGCGTCACGGATATCCGTAAGATAATATCGTTTGGGCGCGAGGGATAAGCTGTCGTGGGCTGCTCGTCGAACCGGTTCCGGGTAACGGGAAATCCCAACTAACCACGGTGGCTTGATGCTGCTGGTGGGCGGCGGTAAGGGCGGCAACACTGGACGTGGGACCGCCCGTAGGATATCCGCTCCCGGGGGAGGTGTCCCAGGTGTAGATACCGCGCTGTGGCGAGCCCGCGAGCTCTCTTATGTTGTCGACGGTGTTGTTGGTACGGGGGTAAGGATGTTCGTTAGCCTGGCGCACGAGCTCGCCCTCGGAGAGGAACCGTCGCTGTGGACTATACCCGGCGCTCTGTTGGTGGCCCGCGCCGCTCCCATGCTGAGCATCGTAGTATTTTCCACCGGTGATTTGCTGAGATTGTTGCTGTTGCTGTTGCTGTTGCTGTTGCTGTTGCTGTTGCTGTTGATGCTCGGAAATGCCGATGAAGTCCGGCCGACGGACCTGCGTCGGTGTTCCCGGGTTCGATCTGCAAGAAGAAGTCGACATATTCGAAATATCATCGGACGTTCTCGAGCTGGGCGTGGATGATGGAAGTGGGGCAAAGTGAGTTATGGGTACGGTGAGGGGGTGAGGGATTTAAGGGGAGTATGGCCAACGAGAAAGTGGCCGATCTTGGTAATTTTAAACTAAAGCTCTGGATGAGTAGGTAGGTGACTGACGGTGGGGAATTGGGATCGGCGGAGGAGCGAGGAGTAACGAGATGAAGAGCGGCGTTTAAGCAAAGTGCACTTGCGACAGCATAAATGTCATTCGAATGCACTAGATTGACCTCACTGCACTGGCACTTTACGTTCGCATTACTTCTCAAAGTTGCTGGAAATTCGCTGGAAATACACTGGACTCGGGTATGGCTTTGTTATCGGTAATATGTTATTTAATCTTAGACCTCGTGCGTAATTGTACGCTTTACACGTTCCGCGAGCAGAATAACGCGTTTTAGAAAGTTATGAAGAGGCGTAAATTATCGAGTGGCTTATGATGTAATTGTTTTAATTAGAATTTACGAATTTACGAATTTACGAATTTACGAATTTACGAATTTACCGCAATATTATTGGCTCGTCGGTATATAATCGTCGTTAGGCAGGAATGAGTTCAACGGACGCGTGAAAAATATTATTCCCACTAATCGAATAATCTTCAAAGTCGATGAATCTGTAAAATCATAGCTTAAACGTACATTAGGAGGCTTTACTAACGCGCTCGATAACGCGCCAACTATGTCAATCTCGACAATAATATTTGTCATAAGATAATAAGATTTTTCAATCAATTTTTTAAATCGGCAATTAAATAAGGGAGCGATCGCGTTACTTATTTGGCATTTTAATACCGTTTATTCTACAATGTGAAGTGAAGCTCAACTGCAAGTGCCAGTACGCGAGAAAGTTATCGGAATGAATAGATAATAGGAGATATGGTACAGTCTACTATAGTTAGTTATTCATGCACTGGAAGGCATCGTTGAATGGAACAAATCACGTTTCTGCATTTACCGATAACAATGCACTTTTATTTGCTCAAATGATAGCGCCAAGTGGAAAAGTCCTTGGCCTAACTAAATAATAAATATTACTTTTAAGCGGTGTAACAGTGAGCGTTATAGCTATACAATGAATCCGTGAGCTATTGGAATGATAAGTAATGATAGCAGGCTCATACAAAGCTTGGCAATATTATTTTTCTTTACTTTTAATTGTATTTTTTTTTCTTTCTGTTTTTTCAAATTAAATTTAATTATACTAATTATGGTAATTTACATTTTTGGTGCTCACAAGGCATTATTTCACCGACTCAAATACGCACGCTAAGGTTTATATTGACAGCCGTTAATAATAATAACAATAATAATAATTAATAATTAATAAATAATTAATAATAATTATTAATTTTAATTATTTACTTTTTTATCTATTATTTACTTTACATATTATTTATTTTATTTACTTTATTATTTTTTTTTAGCTAGAGGATTATATTTTTTTCAATGCACTCCTTCCCCTTGTTTGTATCTGCTTTTGTACGTCTCGTGCGCGTAATCATAAAAAGTTCCCAACTTGCTACAAATAAATCATGGATTTTGTTTTACTATCCGGCTGACGTTTGCTTATTTATTTGTTGTTTTCTTGATCTGTTTTTCGTTTTTTATTTGTGTGCCTTTTTATATATATTTTTATGAACATTAGAGCTCGCACACACGAAGGCGCAATAATTAATAAATTGGGCACGACCGACCGTGAAAATCAATCTCGATATTTCAACGAAAGATTATAAAATATGGCGAGGCGATGTCAATGATATAATGGCACGAAGCAGTGAGAAGCCGTGAAATGACTGCAAGATTGAACACGAACGATGATTGTATGAGAAATTGTAAATAAGTGATGACGCAATAGCTCGCTAATAGCAAGTTACGCACTAAAAACATATCAACATACGATGTACATGTTTAACATTATGCCCAAGGCACTCTTAGCGTGAAAAGTGACAAGTTGACTATACTATTATATATATATATATATATATATATATACACACACAATATAATGCATTATGTTATAACGTATTGTAATAAAATCATAGGCATTATGCAATAGATAAGCAACAGAATAATAAGGAATGATAATAGTAATAATGAGGATATAAACGAAAATTAAATGAGAGTAATGATAAATAAATCTACGAATAAAAGGTGTCCTTGCGGAACGAAGTCCGTGTTTTACCTGCAGTAGGTCGCAACATGTGACTGGACGAAAGCAGCTCCTTGCAGTTACCACCCCCTGCAGTGGGACACAAACTCATCTATATACCACATATACTCTTTAAGATTTACGTGCAAGCAAAGGCCCATCACCCCTCTAACCGCGTCGCGTCCCGTCTCACTCACCCACGCGACGCTTGCTTCTCTTCTCCCCTTATTAGCCACGAGTGCTCGCTCCGGCAAAAGTGTCACTTTTCCCACTCATTCATCCTCTCCTACCACGACGTGCAAATTCCACGAAACGATCATCCAACTGCTTAACCATCGCTCTCCAAGTGCATTAACGATCGTTCGACCAACCATTCTCCAATCTCTATCGCGCGTCTTTTTCTCTTTATTCGCTTTGCTCTGGACGAGGACGAGCGAGCCTTGTTGCGAGATAAATGCTTCAATGAAGGATGCGCGTGACTTTATTTCCACGTAGCGATCGATGTGCTTGATTGACTAACTAACCAACTAACTAACTGGTTGGTTGGTTGGTTGGTTGAGTGGGTGGCTGGTTTGAGCGACGGCTCTTTCAACGACGCAAATTCAACATGGACAATTTTATCGATTCGTAAGGTCGTGACAGTGGACAGTTACGTGGCGCATCGAACGCTTCGTACGGATTTTAAAATAAAATCACAGCAAGTGAGAAGGAAGGAACGCGAGCGTTTCGCAGTCTCACCATATCGTCTTATTTTAGTTTTTCGTATTTTGTTGTCGAAACGACGAGGAGAAAGCTCCACACATACTCGCCACGCGCGTAAACGTCCCGTGACTCTATCGAGCATTTATAAATATCTATTTTTATAATGGCGCGAGTTGAAAATTCTTATAGATGAAAAAACGATTACGGGGAGAAGAAATGTACGAGTATTTAGTTAGTAAGTATGCCACTGTGAAACGCAGATTGAAATTAATTGCCAATATATTATTGCTAGAATTGCCGATATCGAAGGTCCGAATAGATAAAAGACGAAAAACAAAATAAACATAATTACGGTGGTCTACTGCCTCCCTTCAACGATTCTGCCGGACTCTCTGTCGGAATAAATAGGAGAAATACGGAAAGGCAGCGACAGAGAACAAAGTATTAGCTTGAGTATGGACGTCGAATGTAGAATATTTGCTTAATGGTAGTCATAAATATAATTGAAATACTAACAATAATAATATTAGCATTGATATTGACAGTAATAGTAGTTATAGTAGTAGTAGTAGTAGTGGTGGTGGTGGTGGTCGTGGTGGCAGCGGTGGTGACGGTGGTTGGGCAAATTAATAGATTACAAAAGGCTCTCGGAACGATTAGATCAATATTAATTAGAGACGCATTTCCATTCGCTTAATTTACACGTTTAATGATGCAAAATGCAACACCAAACACTTCGTTGCTTGGAAGGGAAGTAGAGAAGCGAGAGAAGGGAAACAAAAAAATAATAATAAAAAATGCATTTCCTCTAATTAAAATAAAACATTTCTTATACGTTAATTTGATTGTAATAGTTAGTTTTCGGAAGAATATATTATTAACAACAACAATAATAATAATAATAATATTAAAAAGTGTAAGACACAATGGAGATAGGTATACCAGCTTTGGTGCGCGTTCGAGGTACATCGACATACAAACATCGACAGGTTGTTGTGAGGGTGAGAATGTGTATACGCGCGCGCGCGCGCGCGCGCAAACGCAAACGCACGCACGCACGCACGCACGCACACACACCCACACACACACGCACACACACCCACACACACACATATGCACACGTATTACATGTTATAGATATAATCGATCGTAGTAGTGATCATCCGTCATCGACTATACGCTAAGTAGTTTGTGTGTGCGTACACGTGCGTGCGTGTGTCGATCAGTGTGCCCGTCCGTAGGCACACCTGCATTCATCAGTGTCGTGCGCGCGCGCGCGCTCCTGCCGTGTAAAAGAATAGAGCTGAGCTCGGATTAGTCGGCGTACCTGCGAATGGGACTGGATATGGCGAGCGGCGTCGGGACGCCGATGGCCTTGATCCTCTGCTGCATGGTGGGACTCGCGCCACCCTGGCGAGCACCACCAGGGCCCGTCGCCGGCGAGCCGCTCGACTCCGCCAGTGGATCCGGCGTGTGACTCCGCGAGCCGTTCATACCCCTATGACATGCAACCATATTTTAATTTTTTTCATTATTTTACGTATTATGGGACAAGTTTTTTTTTTGCAAGCGGTGCGCAAAATTTTCACGATGCGCACTTTGAGATAGGCGAGCCGAACGATAATGGAAGATTTCCTCCCGGTTGGATGCCAATACTGACGGTAATAACGATTTAAACATGCTCACCGACTCGCCAAATTATCTCTCAACATCATATCGGCAAAACAATCGCGAATTAAATAATACGACATTTATATTAATATTCGTGTGATAAATTTTAGAATTGAATCAATAAAGGATAAAATCGGTTTAATGTCCATTACTCGTCGGCGCGCAAGTAAAGCGGCGTTTAAACTTGTCGACGTCGCGTGACGTTTTACAAATGATCGATCGTCTCGGCAAAGGACTCGTAGCCCCGTAAAAACTTACACCTTCGTCCCACCAAGCCCCATGAGACTATCGATTTCCAATCTACGTGCCCGTTGGTTGAGTGTGGAGGAAGGTGAGGTGGATGGAAAGGGATGGGTGGGATGAGAGTTTACGCGACAGTGTCGCCCGTCTAAGCACGAGACTCTTTAACCGTAGACAATAAGCATGCAGCATACCCACCTTGGCTTGGGATGGGGACTGACTCTGGGATAATGTATGGGGTGACGATGCTGTGACTGTGGTAGATGCCTCGGAGACTCGTTGCTCTCCACTGGTGGCAGGAAGAAGTTGTTTTTCGAGCCATGTCTTTGCAACGGGGGAGTGGGCTCGCAGTCCGCCGATTGCGAAGCGGTGGGTTCCATGTCCGTGTCGGAGCCGTCCCTACCAGGAGATAGCTAGAATGTTTGAAGCAAAGGGATGGGGCGGAGGGGAGAACGATTGAATTAGCATTGGTGAATGGTATAACTTGGATACGAGAGCATTTGTTGGTTTATACCGTGCGAGAGGTTGATAAAGTATAGGTAGGGATAACGATGGTAGTCTCAAGAGAGGAGCTGGTCGAGGTCTACCTTAGGATAAAAAAATCTTCGGATGAGGTATCGTTGGCCTGGACGGATGCGGATGAGGTGGCATCTGAATTAAAAATTATGGGATCGTGAGAATTGGAATACGTTGCATTCGTAGGCTGCGCTTTGTAAATTTTCGCTCAACAGGCATAATATGTATGCGGGTAGTAGTGGCAACAGCGGAGTGTCGAGCGTTTCAAGCAAAACAATCGCATAAATCTGTACTTTTGTGAGATAATACAGAGGCGAAGATATAATTTGCCAAAGCACTTGTTATAGGGGACGGGCCGGGGATGGGGTTTAGGTTAAAAGGGCGTTAAGGGCTTTCTCAGGATGCGAACGGCAACTAGCTCTTACCTTATTGTAAGCATTTGAACTGGCATTTCTAACGCCATTGCTGCTATCCATGTAGGTTTTTACCTGGTTCTCGCTGTCTATCGTCGAAATTTCCGACGTGCAGGCCCCTCGTCGCTTTCCCGAATACTTTTCCGGCTTAATCAAGCTGTAATCATCACAAGGTTATTTTAAACAAGGCAGACAGAGAATGAATGCTTAATCGTCGATTATAATGTAATTGTGGTTAATCGACCAAACGATCGATGTAAAGTATCGTCAAGCACGAGGATAAGCGAACGATTACGTAAATTGAATGCGAATTTTAGCGAATTTTAGCGAATTTTAGCGAATTTTAGCGAATTTTAGCGAATTTTATGTAGAGGAACAAGGTTACCAGACCTGGACGATATTCCACTGCTCTCGCGTTGACGTTCGTCGATTGGACGTTAAGCATAATGCTCGCAACGAGGTCTTTTTTTTCTTTCTTTCTTTTTTAATGTAAAGTTTTTACTATTATGTAATGCGTGTATAGTACCTGGGATATTGCGGGCCAAACTGTATGTAGCAGCAATTGTGCAGGCACCCTCGTGAAAAGGGATTATAACCCCCGTTGAATTTCCCTGTTACTTGTTCGTTTGTTGTTCGACCTCGTAGGACCAATACCACGTGAAAACCCGTTAAACCGAAAATTGGAATAAAAAGAAGCGTCACCACTCCCATGAGTACCATACTAAGCCCAGTCGTTAAGGAAAAAAGAAGAGGTGCGAAAGGTCATTTGAGGTTTAGACTGCGTTAATAAATTAAAATTTATACAGACATTGAAATACAGACAGTCTACGACACGCACTCGTTGCAATATGTGCATTAATGGTGTCCTCTGTGGGAGCTGAATTTAATCATTCGCCACTTACTGTCTACGTTTACAATCGTAACTTATAGAATCATGAAAGGATACGCTATGATGGTTTGAACCTCGGCCAGTTTCTGTTTGTGCTCCAATACGAAATATAAGCACAATCCAAATATACTCAGCATGTGCATGCTCAACGATACAAGGAAGAAAAAGAAGAAGCGATAGTTTCTCCTCCCTATGCAATTATTGACCCATGGACAGTGATGGTCGAAAGTCTGTAAAAGCGTTATTATTAGATAAGAGAGACAATCGTGATGGGCAAATCATTGAAATAACGTTATTAAGGTGAGAGCATACCTCTATACAGTGATTGCAAACGCTGCAGTGCGAACATCTTGGTGGACGATAAAACTTGCAAGTGACGCACCACTTCATTCGAACGGTAATACCATTAATTTCAACGTTCTTATATAACGGTGCTCTAAAATCATCTTCTCTGTCTTCGTCCGATGGGGCTAATAATAGAGAGATCCAAGCGCACGCATAATTAGTGTATGTTGGCATGGTTTTAATGTATTATTATTTTACTCGCTCGCTTAGATTCTAAATAGCCGCTTTAGGATATTGAGATACTTTGGTTACCTTTTGGTATTACTCCAGGATCCATAAAGGTTGCCAGTGTAAAGTTTGCCAGTACAAAGAAAGTAATGACCGCTTGAAGCGCCGGAACCCATGGGTATCGAGAAACGTAGTACTGACATCTGAAAATAGAATTAAAAATTTAACGATAAGTCCTTGCCTACATTGGAGATACTTAATCTCAGCTTAAAGGGCATTTGACAACCGATGGCAAATAGGTAATGTGCACGACCAAAGTAAAGACGATTACCTGTTTGTTTAAAAATAGCTCGACACTCTTTATTACAAATAGCAAACAATCAATCCTCTTATCTAAAATATCATATCATACTTCATGAATTAATTTCCATTCAACCAAATATCAAAGATTCAGCTGCCCATAATATCGTCGCACTGACTTATCCATCTCATAATACTCCTAACTTAAGCACGCATCTAGTAATCAAAACCAATTTCCTTTCGCACGTACCAACCGTACTTTTTACATTTATGTGAAAAACATTAAATAACAAGCTCGATCGAATGGCCGTTAAAGCTGGCTTTTTCATTTGTCATTCTCATATAATATCGATTAACGGGTAAAGAGTAAAAAAATCATTACTTTTGTGAATTAAGAATAATTACTATTAGAATGGCACACGAGGAATTTGCTTCATCGGGTGACCAACAAAGCACTAGCTACCAAGTACAAACTTTGTGGACTAACGAATAACAATAACGGTTACACTCCTCTATTCGCACCGCTCTTGGATAACTTTGTCCAACACTATTAAGTTCTTGACTCAGGATTGCCCTTCCACCAAAGCCCAAACTCAATCAGCACTATCGTAATCTCACAGCGCTGAGACAAACTTTGAGAAATCCTATGTCTCGGAGCATCATAGCACAACATGCCAGCCACTCGTCAACAAACATCATGCTCCAAAGCATCGAACCAGTGTCAAGAGGACTGACTGGAGCTGGAGTGCAATAATGAAGTGAACGAGGAGAGTCGGTCACTCACGGGAAGTAGAAGAAGAGGGTTGTCGTGCCGAGAAGAAGAGCCCAGGCGAAGGTGGCCGGAAGATACTTCATCCTCGCGTCGCATTTCGGCATCCTGCAGGCTGCACCTCGCCGAGCGGCACCAAGCCTCGGGCCTCGCTCTGGCCGTCCTTGGGGTCCGGCTCCTGGAGCAGCGACACGCGCTTGCCTCGGCGCTCGCTCGCAACCTCTCCTCTTCCGTCCACACGTTCGCACACTCGCTCCCTCTCACTCTCGCTCTCGCTCCCACTCTCTCTTTCTCTCTCATGCGCGAGCGCGCGCGCGCGCACGTACACGCGCAAACACACTCCCTCTCTCTCCCTCTCTGTCTCTCTCTCTCTCTCTCTCTCTCTCTCTCTCTCCCTCTCGTTCTCTCTTCCTCGCGCACTAGTCCCTACAGCAATGATTTCTGCTGGGAGAAAACATGGCCGCGTCCATTGATAGCGCGCGATACTTGGCTCGCTGCTGCTACTCCTGCAGCTGTTGCTGTCGCGATCCGACCGAGGAGAAGAGCAGGAATTCCAGCGCACCGATCGCCGCTCACGTAACCTCGTAAGTGAGAACGAGGACGATGGGCGCGGGTCTCCCGTTCCTTTCCTTCTCCTCTCGACTACTCGATGCTGCCTCCTCCTCACTCTTTCTTACACACTCGCTCTTTTTCTCCGTCTGCCTCTCTGTCTAGCTATCTATCCCTCCCTCTCGCCCTCACGCTTTCCCCCTCACTGTCACACAATCCACTTCTCTTCGTCTTGCGGCTTTCAGCAGCGCGCGAACCTCGTCCCGGCGAGTGTCAGCAAGCCGTCCTCGCGGTTACGCGACCAGCCCATAATAATTGCCAGGTCGTGTGGTGGCACCGGGATCAAACGGCATCCGCTTACAGTATGAGCACCGATAAAAACGGACACGAGTACTGGGACAGCGGCAGTGTCGATGGCAGCAACCAAGGCGATGAGGACGACGACCACGACGACGTCGACGACGGCAACGGCGACCACGACGACGACGACGACGACGACGACGACGACGACGACGGCGGCGACGGCGACGACAACCGCGACAGCTCGTCGTCCTGACACGAAAACATACCTTCGTTCGCTGCTAAGCGCGAGTAAGAGCGAGGGAGATAGAGAGATTGAGAAATATCACGCGTAGCTCGAGACGTGCAGGACAACAACAGAGGTTACGTATTATGACGCGATTATGATATCGCGTCGTGCGGATAATTTTTCGCGGGTACTTTGTACCACAGGGTTGAAGAGGGGAGGTGGAGGACTCGAACGCGAGGGGGAGTACTATTTAATTCGAGGCTATAGTCTGTCGGATCGTGTGAGCGAATCCACGAACATTTGAAGCAGCACCCGGCAAGTCCGTGCACCGTTTCCCATTATAAACACACTTTCATTCGGGCTCCCTTCGCGCCTCAGCTACCCCAGCCATCCACAAGAGAGAGTGAGAGAGAGAGAGAGAGAGAGTGAGAGACGGGACGAGCTTATCGCTCCCGCCACCGCTCAACTTGAGCCCTTCATCTCTCTCGCGCACCCTCGCTCGATCACCCAGAAGCACTACTGGAAGCTCGACACGACGGCCTCTTGGAACGGCTACTCGATTATGCCTTTGTATGCTCCATGTGTTGGTGGCGCACGGCGATCTTATGTTCTCCGCTCTCGCCAGCCATTGAAACGTTTCCTCGTGTCGTTTTATTATCCCGTTGGGCTTTCAGCCTTTTTAGCCGGCCACGTTCTATCACTATCAGCGATCGCGATACTTTGCCGCTTTAATTGCAGACTCGCTACGCTAACCAACCGCCGTCAATTACATGTCCAAATAAAATTTGAACGCCGAGTCGCCTTAACGTCGCCTGTCCATGCTGGATTTTCCAAATGCGCGACGACGAAGACGACTAACCCCTTTACGCTGCGCCCCAACGGTAATTTCAATTTGAAAGTCCGAGGCCGTTTTCGTGGATGGGAGGAATCGGCCGGCGAGACGTTTTATTCTCTGTACGATCGTTAGATTAACGTCACTTATTGAGTAGTAATGTGATTTAGCGAGGGCTAATTAGAGTACGATTATACGACGAATGGCTGGTCTGATTGGCGGGTGGTGTGTGATGAGAAAGGTGATGAGGGCGGGGGAGGGGGGTGCAGCTTAAAAGCGCGTGTGCGTGGGTCGCATTCGTAGAAATTTTTTATTGGTTAGTTTTTAAATACGGTTGGCCAGCTCTGGGAAACATTGTTGGATGCGATGTTCTTCAAGTCACATTGTGCCTCAAATTATTAAGAATCTTTATCGTAAATTTTATATTCGCGATCGTAGACAATCATGTTCTGAAGTTTGTTAATGCGCTTGTGCGTATTATTGGATGAGTATCGCAAGGTTGCCGGATTTTCCTTATGCAGTCGCTATGACTGATATCGTCGCGACAAATGTAACAACAACAACAACAACAACAACAACAACAAAAATTGCGCTTTCCCACCAACTTTCCTTCGTAGTAATGAATAAAATGTATTTTTTTGTAAAATGCAATAGCAATGGGATAGATGAGATTGTAAGTGCGCCACGTGCGAGTCAAGAAAATCTCTTCGGCTGTGCATTAGCACCAAATGCTCTAAACAATTTTCTGTTCCCTTAGTCTACCTTGGCGATTCCAAACCTTTTTGTCGATAATTATCCGTTATTAATTAGCGTAAATGCTTATTTCAATGCCACGACCGTTAAATACCAATTGAAATAAATTATGCTCACGAGTGATGGGACATGGACACGTCGCTTTTTTATTGGAATTTTCACTAATTGCTTTACATAATGGGCGAGATAGAAGAGAAAAGAAGAAAGAAAAACAAACGGTAATTGATTAAATTATATGGGCAATACGATGTCTCTATACCGCCAATACCAACTGGTAATTTTATCATTTTTATAAATCGTATTAATTAATTTGAAATAGCCGCGTGTACGTAATTTGACGAGCGCCAAGATTATGCGAAATTGGGCATTACATTACAAATTGCATATACGAATAGTTTGATAAGAATTAACAAAAACCTACCTCACCCACCTATAAATGAAATATGTAATGTATGTTAAAATTACATCGTTTTTGCTGGAACAAAAGCCGTACAAAGAAATGTGTGCTGGATCGCGTTGTATTGAAATTTCGCACACACCGTCCTAATGTGAAAGCCCTTGCGCATTGTAGCGTATGGTAAAGATAATTAATTGTTTAATATCTCTTTGAAAAGTTGAAAATAGTTGCAAGTCTTGGGTAGTTGTAAGGCCTTTAATAGTTAAAAGTGAAAGTAAGAGAGTGAAAATTGCAATTAGTCCTGCTGGATTTTTTTCCGATCGAGAAAGCTTAATTAACTGCGGCTCAACCGATCCGCGTCACACGTCGACCTTAAAAACTAAGCAAAGAAAATCGATAATTATCCGGTAAGTAGATAAGAGCATCATCAAATCCGTTTTAACACGTAATTTAGATTAATTGTCGAGTGCGACGTTTGGACGACGTCTATAACAATCGCTCTTCCATTCTATCGCATTACGTAATAACCAATTTTTTTCCCCCTTCTCCCTACTTAATATCGTTATTAGATAATGCTCGATTCGCTCATTGTATGCTCGTATGCCTCACATGGTGAAAGTAATATTTAGTTTGAGTAGGTTTACGACTTTTCTAGGATTCAAGAGTGATTTTAAATACGCGATAATATGTCTCGTTGCATATAGCTCTTAAGTGAGCTTCATTAACTTGCGTCAAATAACAATTCGTATCCATAAATTATTTCAATTCCCGTCCATCCTACAATTGCTGTCGTATTACTTATTTATTGCGTGCATTTAAGCGAAAGCATTAGTTTACATTTAAATAATTATATTCCCTTGTCTAAATAGAATAAGGCTTAAAGTAAAGTGCAAGTAAAGTTAAGCAAAGAATCCTTATTATTGGTGTTTTATAGGAATTTTTCTATTTTTACTATAATGTAAATGTAATAATATTTTTTCAATATTATTCATCCATTGGACAATCTCAACCAACCAACGATTATATTTTCTTGTTCGTTGTCCTATAATTATAATTGCAGTGTTAAATTTTGTGCGTAAGATGAAAAAGTTTCGATCCGTAATTAAGAAGAAATTAATATGAAATTAATATTATGCAATTCTCGGCGTTAAATAATGTTTGAATTACATTAAAGCACAATGGTAAACATTTCGATATTATAAATTATCAATGAGTAATGTTACATTAATTTTGTCCACAATGAAGCTATTGTTGCTTATATTCGCAGAATTGAATTTGCATACGTTTAAAAATAACTAATCAAAAGATAAATAAATGAGCGTTGACGATGAAAAGATAAAAAAAAAAAAAAAAATGAAAAAAAATGAAAAAATAATAATAAGAGTATGGAGTCGTATTGGTTTTTTAACAATTTGATGTTCCAAGAAGTCGATGGAATAATGTCAAAAGAAGGTAAGTTCCATGCCCTTGATTAATTTTTTTTTTTTTTAATAACAGAAGCGCATGCTTTTTGTTTTGTATTGATATCACATTTCTCTTTGTCATTGCATTAATCTTATGAAAATTATAATTGAAATAATAATCATTATATTTTAATGGTTTTATTTTGTAAACATACATTTTGCAATAACGAATGTTAAACTTTTATGTTGCATTAGAAAGAGTACATCTTCGAATTTTCAATATAACTCCTTAAACATTATTGTACTCTAGTTTTTAAATATTCGTAATTTTTTAAATATTTAATAAATGATTAATTATGACATTATTAAATTTCAAAAACTTGTCAATATTCTTTCCTATCGGTCTGTATAAAATATTCGAAAGTGATAACGATACATTATTAAATAATTCTTATCTAATGCAAAATTATTTTTAATCTGATTTAATTATTAAAATAATCAACTACAAAAGTACTTTTCTCTATAATCTACACGTTAACTGTCATATGATGTTTTTAAATACAAATTCGGCATACTAATCTATCATACCAATCTTAAAGTAAAATCTGGGGAATCTATTTAATGAAGAATGCATAACTAAAATTGTTTATCAATACAATCTTATATACAGTAAATTTTGAGTTTTTCGTATATATTGCATAAAAATAGTAACGAATAATTTATATACAATTTAATATCGTTATTGTTATTGCAACGGTAGTGATGAAAAAAGTCTACAGTTTAAAAACAATTATTATAATTA